TGGTATCACGAGAATGAAGACCTGTGTCTGGTGCTGACCAGAATTATGTGACTGGGAAAATCACTTAACTTCTTTGTAAAATAGGGCTCATAATACATGTAGTATGACCTTTGGGGTGCTGCAGATAATGGGTGTGGAATGTTTTGGAAAAACATAAAGCACTATACCAAAAACTTTGGCACCGAGGTGGCACAGTGGGTAGATCTCTGTACACAGAGTCATAGGACCTGAATTTGAATCCTGCCTCAAACACTTACCAGCTGTGTAACCCTGGGCAAGTCATTTAATGTCCCTGTGCTTCAGTTTTATCATCTGTAAAATGGGAACAATAATGGCACCTACCTTTCAGGGTTATTGTGAGGATTAAATGAGATAACACATGAAGTGCTTTGCAAACTTTCAATTGTTATATAAATACTAGCTACTACTATTATTATATTATATATTATTATATATTATTATATATGATATAATGTCAGTTAAGAGTGTAATAGCACCTGTACCTACAGAAGAGAAGGATCAGGTATTTAGAGCTAGAAAGAACTTTCAAATACATCTAGTTCAACCCTTTCATTTTGCAAAAGGAGAAAGATGAAATGACTTACCCACAGTCATACGGCTAGTAAGTGTCAGGATTTGAACTCAGCTCCTCTGGTTCCATATCCAGCCTTCTTCCCATTATATCATGCCCAGGGGTTAGAGGGACGGGAAGAAAATATTTAGAAGAAAAGAAAATATCCAAAAATGCAAGATAATAGGGACCTCAACGGCCATCTTGTTCAACCTCCATGATTTAGGAAATTGAGGCTCCAGGAGTTTAAATGACTTGCCCAAAGTCACTATAGGCAGTGAGTATCAGAGACAGAATTTGAATTCAGATCCTCTGACTCCAATCCTGGTGCTCTTTCTGCTCTGCCACAACTTTCCCCTAGGTGGGGTACAAGAACACTGAATTTGGAGTCAAACGACCTGACTTTGAATCCCGATTCTTTTGCTTGCTACCTATATAACCTTGGATAATTCATTGCTCTGCTTGGGGTCTCAGTTTCCCCATTTACAAAATAAGGAATCAGGTCCCTTTCAACTCCTAAATCTTAGCATCCTAGATTACACCAGATGAACTTTTCCCTGAGATATTTGGTTTTTTTTTTCCAGGAAACAAAAGTTAAAGTTTTATTTAATTTAAAATTTATTTAGTTTAAAAGTTTAACTAAAGTTTCAGGAAATAAAAGATTTTTTCTTCTTGCTTATTTCCTGGGTGTTTTTCCCCCAGGTCTTCCTGTTGAGAGATCCTGTTGGAGCTCTCAAGTTTATATTGGTGGGGGCTCTGGGATGATGGGAAGCAGGATCATGAGATTTAGAGTTTAAAGGGACCCTAGAGATGAGAAGGTTCACATCTAGACCGAAAGGTTGTGGGCTTAAAGCTAAAAGGGACATCAAAGGTCATTTATTCTGACTCCCTCATTTTAAAATAGGGAAAGTGAAACCCAGAGAGGTCAAATAATTTACATAAATAGCAACAGTCAGAGCTCAAACTTAGGTCCTCTGATTTTACATCTGGTGCTTTTTCCATTACACTATCTTGGACCTCAGTTTCCCTGTCTATAAAATGGGGGAGGGGGCTAGAAGTGACTTTCTCTAGGTCACACACTTCCAGAGGTAGGGTTCAAATCTAGGTTTATTCTGAAAAACAAATCTACTGCATGGAGGTCTTAGATTCAAATTCTCGCTCTCCTTATTACTTATGGCTCCTTGGGTAAAGCACTTGACCTTTTCAGCCATCAGTTTCTTAATCTGTTAAATGAAGCGCCTGAAAAAAGGTCCCTTCTGACCCCAAATGTGTTCATATTGCCCCAGGTTTTACAAAGTTGGGCTCCACAGGATAAAAAACCCTCAGCCCTGTTAAGTTTCTCTCTGAGTTCCTCCAGTATCTTAGCCAGTCAGTCATAGGCTACAAATGGCCAGAAGGTAGAAGAGTCTGTATTTTCAGATGGCACAGCCACCAAAGGAACCAGACCCTTCCAGATGTGGAGATAGACACCAGCCAGGAGCTGTTCACTTGACTGGTGGGGTTACCTGAAATCCTCACATTTCTATAGTGGAAAGTTTTCACTGCAATGCCAATCCCCATCAGAGGAACCAGTTCCTCCAGGACCAGTCATTAGATTATAAGCTCCTCCAGGGCAGGGACTATCTTTTGCCTCTTTTTGTATCCCCAGAGTTTAGTATAGTGCCTGGTGCTTAATAAATGTTTATTGAATGACCAGTACTCGGGAACAAAACTAGCTAAAATAAAGCTTAGGTAGGTAAGTGAAGGGAACACTTTCAGATTTCTCTTTCTTGCAACAAGGTAAGAACAGACACTTTCTCTCAGTTTTTGGTGACTGGGGTTCAAAAATTCTCTGAAAGAATTTTACTTGCTATTAATAACCACTAAACCAGATGAGCTCAGACAAGCATTGTGCTGGCTTCCTCAGAGGGGAGTGAAGGTTTGGGAGCAAACTTGGAGTCAGAGCAGGTCTCGGCTCCCTAAAGGCTCCCCAGGGAGGAAGCCAGACCCCATTCATGGCATCTCCTTCTGTCATCTTGGAGTGGATTCCACAGTCAGAGGATAGTCAGAGGACACAGACACCTCATCCTGTCCTTTAGATAATAGAACAGAGCTAGATCTGCTGACTTTTCAGGCCATTACTGGAGATGAGAGTGAAAGCCTCAGAGGAGGGAAGAAGGGAGAGATTTTTACTGAAAGAAAATAGGTCACAATTCATTACTTTAGAAAGGAACAAGACACTTAACTGCCCGGGACTCAGTGTTCTCCTAGAAGGTGATTGGAATAGATCAGGGGTTCATATCCTTTTTTTTTTGTATGTCCAGGACACCCTTGCCAGTCCGAGGCAGCCAACAGACCCCTTCTCAGAATAATATTTTCAAAGGCATAAAATAAAATGCATGGGATTAAAAGGAAACCGATTTTGTTAAAATATAGTTATCAAAATATATATAATTTTTAAAAAACTGAATTCACAGACCCCAGTTTTAGAACCCATAAACTGAAGGGTCTCCAAAGGTCTCAACTAGTTCTGCCATCTTATGACTCTGTAATGAGTTTGTTTGAAAAAAAAATTTTTTTAAATAAAGGAGGGAGCAGGTAGGTGGCACAGTAGATAGAGCACCAGCCCTAGGGTCAGGAGGACTTGAGTTCAAATTCAGCCTCAGACATTTCCTAGCTGTGACCCTGGGCAAGTCACTTAACTCTGATTGCCTCAATAAACAAATGAACAAACGACCAAGTAAATGAAGAAATGAATGAATGAATAACTAAGTAAATAATGAATGAATAAGTAAATAAAGCAATGTTTCAGTCCAGGGCTATGACCACATTGGAGCATTTAGGACATTACTCTGCTTGGGGATACTCAGATCCCTACAACTATATGCTCACATGCTCTACAACTATTTTCATTTAAGTTTCTTGCCTGGGGCTCTGTTTTTGTCATAGGATCCTAGATTAAGAGCAGAGGTTCTTGAGTTGAAGGGTCTGTGAACTGGTAAAAGTGGTTTCCTTTGTAATCCTATGTATTTTATTTTGTGCATTAAAAGTTTTATTCTGAGAAGGGGTCTATCGGCTTCACCAGACTACCAAAAGTATCCATGACACAAAAAATGTTAAGAACCTCTGATTTAGAGCCAGAGGATGGAGAGTTTCCATTGAAACTCCAGTGAAGGAGTTTCCATTGTTCCTTTCCAACAAAAAAACAGTCTTCCCTAATGGCAAAGATAAATTGAGTTTGTTTGTTTTTTTAATCAATGCACAAACCTTCATTGAATAGCTACTGTCTACAACAGTGGTGTCAAGCTTAAATAGAAATTGGGGTGCTTTATGGCCCTGTGGTTGATACCTCTGGTCCACAAGGTCCTTGTGTTTAGCATGAGGGATACAGAGATGGATTTGATGGAGATCCTCTTCTCAAGGAGTTTATATTTTTAAAAAGGGAGAAAGACATATTCATACAGAAAAGTCACCTAGCCTTTCTAGGCTGTGGTTTTCCTATCTGTAAATGAAGAAATTACACAAGATGATCTCTTTTCTTTAAACTCTAAATCACAAGAACATTTGTACTATGATACAAATAGACTGATGAGTTATTAAGCAGGTGAGCATAGACCTAAGTGTGAATGAGAAGTCCAGGCAAAGTGCTTATTTATGTAATGAGGAAATGATCACTTGCATCTTACAAAGGTTCAGGAAAGACTTTATTAAGAAAGTGACATCTGCTTTGAATATTGAGAAAAAAAGAGGGACCTTGAGAAACAAAGAAACCATAATAAGCAGGAGAGTATGAGCAAAAAAACAGGATAAGGCAGGATGGATACCAGAGACTAAAAATAATAATAATGACAGCTAGCACTTATATAACATCTTAAGGTTTGCAAAGTATTATTCCACGTTTTTTGATCTTCACAACATCCTAATGAAATAGGTGCTGTTAATATCCCCATTTTTCAGATGAGGAAATTGAGGCTGAGTGGTTAAAAATGATTTGCCCAGGGTCACAAAACTAGTATCTGAGGCAGGCTTTGAATTCATCTCTGGGATTCCAAGTCCAGAATGACTATAATATAAAGTACATGGAGAGAAAGAGAAAGCCAGAAAGCCAGAAAGGTAAGTTGGAACCATATTCTAGAAAGTCTTGGATGCCAAGATCAGGAATTCAGACTTTTGTGATTTAGGAAGATTTCTTAAGTGGTACTGGCATGAAAGATAGATTATAAAAAGGAGAGATTGGAGGTAGGAAGACCAGTTGGGAAAATATCATAAACTAGGGGAAGAGGGGAAGGAATGAGAGCCTAAACTGAGATAGTTGCAGTAGTGTGGTTCATCTCATCATAAATGATAGTATGAGAAGGTATGAACTATTTCTGAATACACATTTAATTCCATTTTATTCAAAATGGATGTCTCTCTCTCTTGTTTTCTCTCTCTCTTTGGGGGGATCAAGGATTATGAATACCCTCTCCATTCTCATGGTGGCCATCATCCCCGGAATGAGCGCTGTCCACCACCCCCCCAAACATTACCGAAAGGAGCTTGTGAAGTGACCAGCTGCCGCTCAGATTCGGTGTGTGAAAGACACAAACGTTGCTGCTTCAATGGGTGCACCTATGCCTGTCTGGAATCAGTGCAGCCTCCACCAGGTAAAGGTCAGAGCTAGGGTCAAGGGGAGCTCCTTGATGAGCAGTGTCCTTCAGCTCCATAATGGGGGTGGGGGTGGGGGTGGGGAATGGGGCAAGGAGAGAAACCCTTTAATATATCTTTTCATAGATGCAATATTTTTAATGCCTGAAAAATCCACCCTCCATGATATACCTGGCAGTGAATGAATGAATGAGTGAATGAATGAATAAGTGAATGAAGCCAAATCCCATGTGTTGCAATGATGGCTCAAATAAATTGGGAAATAAATTGTATTTAGGAGGTAAACTTTTTAAACCCAGGGGTGAGGGTACATAATTTTTTAACTTGCCTAGTTCATTAGACTGTCTTGTCCTATCTCTGCCACAATCCCAGCAGTATTACTCAGCATCACACACCTTCCTTCCTTCCTTCTTTTCTTTTTCTTTCTTTCTCTCTCTCTTCTTTCCTTCCTTCCTTCCTTCTTTCTATGAGAGGAGGCAGTTAGGTGGCACCATAGTGCACAGAGTGCTGGGCCTGGAGTTAGGAAGATCTGAGTTCAAATTTGACCTCAGATATTTCCTAGCTATGTGACCCTGTTTGCCTCAGTTTCTTCATCTGTAAAATGAACTGGAGAGGGAAATGGCAAACCATGACAGTATCTTTGCCAAGTAAACCCTAAATGAAGAGTCAGACATGACTGAAAACAACTGAACAGCATGTTAAAAAGAAAGAATTTGATGTATTCTGTTGGTAATATGCTGATGTGGCAAGAACACCAGATTTGGAGTCAGGAGATCTGAGTTCCAATCTTCACTCTCTGTGTAACTTTGGGTGAGTCGCTTCCTCCTCTCTGGGCCTCAGTTTCTCCATCTGTAAAATGAAAGGGTTGGACTGGATGACCATTAAGATCCCAGACAGTTCTAAATCCCATGATCCCAAATGAATGCTCTCTGTGGGAGAACTGGATTTTTTCTGTTCTTCATGTCCACCATGAAGCCAGTTTGCCTGCAGTCAGCTTCTAGTCCCCTCCCTGGGGTGTGATTTCAGGCATTTCCCCTTCCCAAATGTCCCTCACCTTCTTCTAAACTCTCTTCCCACTGACTGGTGCCTGGGAATTCTGAGATGCTTAGAGAGCATAAAGACAGACAAAAGGGGATGTGGGCATGTCACACCTTCTTTAAAATGCTGTTAGCCACTGAGGTGCCTTAGTGTGGTTACATGTCAGTCCATTCCTGAGAGTATAACAGAGCATGATGGGCAATAAGTGTGTCAATGCTGGATCCTAAAGAGGGTAAGAAGGACCTCTTGGCATGGAGGTGCTGGCTAGAATTGATACAGAGATTTAAGATTTGTGAAGTAATTTACATATTGTGTCTCATTTGATCCTCACAACATTCTTGGGAGGCAGGAAGTATTATACCCATTTTACAGAATGGGGCTGGGGTAGAAGAACTTGAAGACAAAGGCTCTTTACTCCCCAGTTCTGCAGGGCTGACCTACTTGCTAAGAACCCTTTAAGGTGAATAATATCCTGCCTTTGTGGAATGCTTATCACAGTGCTGCTGAGAGCATTCCATAAGCCCTATTCATTTTCCCCTCTAAAAAGGATATTGAGAAACTATTTCCCCTTGAGAAGTTGCATTTAGGAGAATCATTACCAGCCTCCATAGTAAGTGGTGACAGAATTAGGAATAGGAGCTCATGTTCAGGCTAACTTCAAAGTCATGGGGAAGGACACAGCACCAATTTAGTTCATACTCCTGACTTTGTGCCTTCCCATGCCTACTTTACTACTCTTGAGGTGAGCAACCTCTTCCTCCCTCTGTTTCTTCCTTTGCTCCTTCCCTCCCTTCCTCCTTTCCTTCCTCTTTCCTCCCTCTCTTCCTTCTTTCCTCCCTCTCTTCCTTCTTTCCCTTCGCTCCCTCCCCTTTCTCTTCCTTCCTTCCTTCCTTTCTTTCTTTCTTTCTTTCTTTCTTTCTTTCTTTCTTTCTTTCTT